AAAATATATATTTTTCTGCTTAAAACAATATAAACATATACATTATAAAATCTAGAAATTAAATGAAAATTTATTTAAAAAAAAGAAATAAATCAAATTAAAAAATAAGAATGTAGTGCCATGATAGTTGGCAAGGGAACATTTTCTTGTAAGACTTTCTTAGCCAGAATTGCCGTGTTAGCCATCACGAGATCCCCAAACGCCAAGTGATATAATTAGCCTCCAACTAATTGTAAATAATTTCAATATTTTATGAAACGCAAAAAAAAAGTTGTATACAATTTTTTCTCTCTTTACCTTTTCAGAAGGGCTTCGCACACGTGGATCTACTTCCCAACATTGTCATTCTATCACACTTGATTATCTCATTCGTTTTACTACTGATTACTGATTACTGGATTTACGGACGTGAACGCTTTCAATGCGATCTGCAATTTATGTTGGGCAAAACGATTTCGAGTTTTAAAATATTTTTAATACGATTTCTAACGCCAGCATTTTTTGTGCTAAGCATTGTGAGTAAAAATAAAATAAAAACTTTTGAAAATAAATTTTTTAGCCATTGCCTGCAATAAATTTTGGACATATACTATCTATCAAACACAGATTCAAACACTTTACTTTCTGGAACGGGACAACTCACCAACTGCACTTGTTATTGTCAGTCAATGTGTGATCTATGCCATAGCACCTGCCTATATCATTTATAAAATTTGCCAAACTACTGGCACATTGCGTAATAGACTGAAACAATGCTTTGCACCGCACGACTGGCATCCTGTCGATGCTGATAATCTACGATTTTACGAAGAAATTATGGGCGTATCGGAATTGCTGGTAATGGAGAGTGGCGAAGAGCACTATGCTGTGAATGCTTAAAAATTGTACACGCAAGCATAAATACGTTTATGATATATTTTATCGATAGGTGTGGTAACCCTGCTGTATTATTAGACTGGTTTAGAACTAGTGCTAATGTAATGCAAACAAATTTTTCCCAATTTACTGCAGGGAAATTACATTAATGTGGAATAAAACAACGATCAGCCATACCATATATTTGTGTGTATGTATGTCTGTATTTGCTTGTATGCAATTGCTTAGATGTGAATTATAGTAATAATACAATGTATGTACCCAACAAGCAAAATAAACTTAAAGAAAGTTTTTTTTAAGTTTTCAATTATAAACATTAAGCTTACAAAACGTTGGTTTTTTGTTTATAAAACGCTTGAAAGTAAGCGTAATATAATCGAAAAGGAACATTGGTTATAAGCGTAGAAATATAAACTTGTAATAAATGTTCAAAAGAAAGCTTTTTATAAGCGTGTCGGGATGGCCGTTTTATGAGACAAGCAAAACACATGTACTCAC